GCCAGTTGTCAATAATAACGAAACTCAATGACGGAATTCAAGAGCAGTGGCACTTAGCACCCATGCTCGTTTACGATTCAATTCATCTTTGAGCTCGCTCCTAGAAGCCTTTGATTATGTCTTGGCTCTAAATTCAGAGGACATTTGCTTCTTTTGAAGCAAACTGAGTAGCCACCTCACTATATTTTGGTGATATTTTTATCACATGTACAAGAATTATCCTTAGGGACTGTGCAATAATTATCAGGAGGGGGAGGCTGAAAAACTAGAGGGGGGGCATTACATAAAATTGCTGCTAACATAGGGGGGCTCAAAGTAAAATCACTCATTTGACGGAGGGGGGGACTTAAGTTTTATTCGAAATGTAAATAAAATTAAACGCAATAAAAGATTCTCAATACAGGCATCATGATAGACTGTAACGAATATCAATACGAACAGCTGTTACACGATTATTGATAGTATTCCATCAAAATGAAAAGCAAATTCACAACTGATCAATTTTAACCCGTCTTCTAATTAATTGAGCTGATCCTATGTAAAGCAAAAATCATGAACTTGTTTTTCAGCTTCCCCCATAAAACAATGGGAATCAAACAGATCTCGTAGACAAGCTTTGTCGGTTTTTGATGTGATGTTACGCAACAATGCCGATGCTCGCCGATCTCATATTTGGAGCTTGGGCTACCTGTGATTTTCCAAATACATAGAACTTACTAGCCTGCGTAGCAAGCGTTTCCTCGCGAGGTTCGTCTAGAAAGCTGGGGCAATAGCAAAAAAAATTCAACCTTTTTTTTGCTTACGCTCTAACTTTCGCGCAATACCTCGATTGGAAACGCTTGCTACGCAGGCTAAGAACTTACTCGCCAATGTTATTGATTCATTTCTTTTGTTATTTTGGTAAACGAAAGGGATTTCTCCCACCCGGCGCTTACGCGTTTCTCACCTCTTCAGTTCTTGTTCCTTTGGATACTGTTTTTGACCAAATATGATAACATAATGTCATAGGATGAGTCAAAGTTTGCTCAAAAACAGGTTTTTTGTAAAAGATCGAGGATCAAATGAAACACTAGGCAAGATTGAAGCGGATTTCTAGAAGTAGCCGACGCTGATTTCGGGTTGAGGTGAACTCTTTTCAAACTGTCAAAAGTAGTGTCAGGCCCGGGGGGTACTGCCATATATGGGCTATATGGGTATGTGCCGCTGTGAAGGGTATGGTTTTCAAGCACTTTACTCTAGGATAGGGTATGTAAATCACAGCGTTTGGGTCTAGAATAGGGTATCATTTTTCACGAAACTGATCAGTTGGTTGAAGATTGTATCTAGACTGGGGAAACAGCTACTCTAGGATAGGGGGATTTTGGGAGTTTACTCTAGTATAGGGTAGCAAAATTCAGCTGAACTAGCTCTGGTATAGGTCAAGGGTTCCAGGGTTCCAGGGTCCCCGCGGCACATCCCCACCCAGAAATTCCTAAAGTGCCCCCCCTCCCCCCGGGGTGTCAGGTCAGCGCGGTACCAGGCGAATGTTAAAATCCCGATTCAGTCAGTCTTCAAAACATGTCCAATCACAGCCTAAAATACCTTAATCCGATTGGTTGAAATCAACATCACGTTACTAAGTAACTTAATGCATCTTTCAGTAATCGTTAAAAATATGTTCTTAGTGAAGCGTGATGAGATTTCCGTTCGGAATTCATCGTTAGAATTAGAAAGTGGTGGCATCAATTTCAGCTGGAAAGGGGAATAGAAGAAGACAGTTAAAAGAACTGTTTGAAGGAAAAGATCTGTCAGCTAGGTGAGTTTTACTGACTGGTTTTCAGAAGCCTCATCTCCCAACGGCTTGTTTTACTCACTAGAAAAAACAAAGGAAATATCATGCTGCCAGCTGTGTTCTTGCCTGCGTGCAGACGTCTCCTATTTCCTTTGTTGCATGCGGAAAAGGGACGACGTCCCTTTTCCGCGTGCAACAAAGGAAATAGGAGACGTCTACACGCAGGCAAGCTGTGTTCTTGTTATCTGCTGTTTGTCGTCAAACGCCTACCACGCAGGCTACGCTTTATCAACGACCAGATTGTTAAAGACGATTTTTGGTCTTGCTGGTTATAGACGTTTTAAAGCCGCCAGGAACTTACTTTAATAATTGATTGCAGCTTTCTTGTAGATCTTCGAAGTTCAGCTCTTCTTTCCCTGCTACCAGCGTTCTTTCGTATGATTCGAGAGCCAGCAAAGTGTTTTAAATTTTTCTTAGCCTGAGTATCAGGCGTTTCTGGGGAAAAGGGGAAAGATGGAAGCGAAAAAATCTCCTCTCCCCTAGCCCTTTAGGAAGGCCTGATACTCAGGCTAAATTTTTCTCAGACAAACATTGCGTGCAACGTGCTACGTCCAGCACGTTTCCTTCAGTAAATTACGTAATAGATTTTTGCTGGATTTTATATAACAAGCCACGCATCGTTGCAACTTTCTTCTTTCAACGGACGACCGCATTTGAACTTTGTTCATATAGTACGTACCCTCACTCCAGATGTCTTTTAGGAAAACGAAAGCTAAAAATAAGTGTATCGAGGCCAGACTTATTTGACAGCTAGTCGTTCACAGTTATGTTATTTTTACATATATTATTAGTAGGCGGGATGGCGAAAACAATGGCCTCCTGGTTTACTTCCCTCCCTCCTCGCGCGCCCCGACCCTCGCGTTTCTCTCGCGCCTAAAACTCCCTTTCCCTTCCTGCCCCGCAGGCTATCTCTGACCGGATTTAAAATCCCTTATAAAACGAATCATAAAGACGCAGGAACACAGGTAAGTACATCTTATTATTTTATTAACTAATACAGCGTTCGGGTTCTCTGTGGATCGGACAAGAGTATCGGTTTGCAGGCTGTATATACCCTACGAGCAGAGGTTTCTTTCTTGCATGGCTTTTAGCGTTTACGAAGTCATTCGCGTGGCTTGCCTGTCGCGTAGTTGGTTTGGTTACTCGCCGTGAGAAACAAACACGGGTTATAAACAAACCAACCACGCGACAGACAAGCCACGCGAATGACTTCGTAAACGCTAAAAGCCATGCAAGAGAAAAACCTCTTCTCGCAGGGTAGCGATATAAAACGGCAACGCTGCCAACAAGCTTGGTGGAAGTCGCTCCTCAGATTTAACCGCAACGGCGAGGATGGCACAGCACAGGCGGTGTGCGTCACGACCCACAAAGGTTCATGGGTAAAACTGTTACTGTGCCTCATTTCAATCGTGACACGGTCGAGTTCGCATCTCGTAGGAGAAATGAATCAAACCCAGGGATCAAAACACTGCTGCCTTTTCCGAAAAACATTACGCAAGAGAGCGATTTCGAGAAATTTCAAGATCTCATAGTGGCCTTACATGCTTGCTATTGGCTTCACAAGACAATTTCAAGAAGTTTATCGCGATTCGGAGACGATCGTGCGATCTAGCCGACTTTGAGCGGCGACTAATTTCCTGCTTCTCATAAGATTTTATGTACTGTTTGGTTTATATGTATGTTTTTATCTCACAGTTAAAGAGATATGTAGTTCATACCTGGATTTGCTTAACTAAAAAAAAATTCATTCATTAGAAGTGTTAATATATTTGATGGACTTTCTTACCCGCAAAGCAGGGGGAGCGCGTGCAAACAGCAAGGTGAGAAATCGTCTCTCATAACAATTTTATTTTCATCGACAAGTTTATATTATTTTGAAAACAGTGCCCGCTTGAAATCCTTATGAGCAAATAAATCTTCAATCAGGCAAGGGGAAAACGGACCGAAAGAGCCGAACAGCTGCAGCACAATCGGAATTTCACCGAAGCTACAGCCGCAGAAATAAACAGTGAAATAAACCACGATCTTGTCTGTGCGGTCATTAAAGTGAGCGCAGTATATCGATTTTGTTATAAAGTAAAACCTACCCTCACAGTTTTAAAATCCTGTATGTTGTCTGGATCTTCGATAATGGTGTTGTGTTTTGGTAGAGATTTATAACAATTTATTCCCTCACGTATTAAAGTTTACACAAAGATAGCACACACCGCATGCAAATTATTTTAAAGTCACGCTTTCAGTTTCCGCACTGGGTTATGAAAAATGTCTTGTTTCCAAAGGTTATTACAATATTCAAACTTATTTACCTTTTGTGGTTTAAAATAGAACAAAGTCTTCCTGGATTTGGCGTTACTCGCTTCACGTCGGCTTCCGCTTCGGCATGTTTTCTCAGCCCGTTTCCCGGGAGTTGTGCCACTTGGCTGAGACGATGTCTTAATTCCAAGACACTTTCAACGGCTCATAACTGGAAAACTAACAGGGGTAGACCCCGAAAATTGCAAAGAAGAAGGGTTGAAGTAACAAGATGGCCAAAATAATTCGATAAAACCGCTAACAGTAACCAGCAATAAATCCAAGAAGAACGGCAAAAACAACATTCAAATCCTCATGGCGGTCCGCACATGACCGAGCAATTCAAACTCGTCACAAACGCTCAAGAAAGCAAAATATTTAAAAGTAACGCAACTGCTATCAAGATAAAGTGTTCCAACAACTTTCCACGGCGGTATAGTGTCGAAATTACCAACACAAGCTTGGAATAAAGCGAAAATTTCACCACGTATACCTCTGCAAACAGCTCTTTCCGAGCGCGAAAATCACTCTACAAATGACGCATTCTGATTGGTCGAATCTCGTGACGCACACCGCCTGGCACAGCACTAACAAAGCCCAAACGTCGTCTCCAAAGGGAGGGAGGGAGGGAGGGAAACATTTTACAAGAATAATATACTGAGCGCTAACCTTGCTGAACAACAGAACCCAAGTGAATTCTGAACAGTTGTTCAAGACTTTTATAGCTAGACGAACGTCTGCTGGCATAGCCAGTAGAAAAGGCTGTACTACAAGACGGCTCAGCGTTGCACGTGCAAACTCTTAGCCATGAATAGTGCTCTGAAAAAATTAATTGGCCGATGCTGTGGATCGTACTAGCCTGCTAAAGACAACAAGGCCGTAAAGTTCTACGCTAGAATACAATGCATCTTAGACGCTTGCTGACCTTGGCAACTTGACTACACAATCGCTTTATTGAAATAAGAACCGTCATGAAAGGGTTACTGATAGCTAGCGTCACGTTCCTGATTAACCACATTTTACTGGCGTGACAGTAAAGTTGCTTCTAACATAGTTGCCTACTCTGAGGACAAATAAAAACAACTCAGCAATTCCGGCTCAGGTAAGTCCCCTGGTGTGTTTGTTCCTTTGGACAATCCAGTCCAGTCTAGTCCAGTCCAGGCTTCTACGTTACCATAATACGGCTGTACCAGGTGCCCTCTTTGATATGTTAAAATTCTAACATGACTTCGATGCTTTCTGGTCATTTTTCTATATTTGGTTGGATTTTCTTTGTGCTTAAATCTCTTCTGGGAATTGCCAGTCAATGGAATCGTGAAAAATTTGCATTTCGCCCCCAATGCGTTGTCACGTTTATAGAATAACGTGGGCTATTAGTCACGAGGCTGTTTTCAGCTTTGAACGGGAATATAACTTGAAAGTGTGACAGAGATGTGGCATTTCAAGTTAAGGTAAGTGCTAAACACGAAAACTCAGGGGAATCTGTGCGCTGAGAATTCTGTGTCGTGGTTAAAACCGTGGTCGAATCAATTAATCTAGAATCGGCTATGCCTTGCCATTTACGCCTCAGTTTTTTTTTTCTATTTTTTCGAGCGTGATATTTCGAAAAGGGCAAAATCCTCGAAGCTGCCACCCCTTTCGTTTTTATTTCCTTTGCAATAGACTTTTTTGGTGACTAAAAAAGTAAAATTCGATGTTGGCAATCGGGGCATCGAACAATATTGTGCGACCGGCAAATCGCTCCCGCGGCGCATTAATAACATTACCACGAACATTTTACATCTAGTATTAACATCTTAAAATGTTTAAAAGATATCGCATTGCTGTTTTAATGTTTAAGTAATATCACACTGCCCTGGCACAACTTGGACAGTTCTTTTTATATAGTAATAACAGTTTGCGACATTGACATGTTCATAATTATACGCACTGTACGAGCGTGTGATTTACATTTCACTTTGATGATATTTACAAGTACTTTTAGTACAGATAAAGCGATTACAAATATGTGCATTCAATGTTCCAAACTTCGTCAAATGACAAATGACCTTAACCTTGTTTCCCAAGTATTCTTGAATTTTTAGACTCTATTCGGTCGTCTGATATTGCTCAACTTCTACCTTGACATGTTCATGGGGTTGCGAATATTTAATGAAGTCGCCTTCCTTCAGCATAGTCGCTTTTCTAGAATGTTACAATCTTTGTTTGCGTACGCTCGGGGTTATTTAGCAAGGTGTAAACTCAGGTGTTGTTTGTCAAATTTTAGGTTCTGTGGACTGATTCTGAACGGAGAAAGGCGAAAAAAAAAAAAAACTATTTCAGCTAATAGATGAACATTAAAGTCTTTCTTTCGTTTTTAAGGGAATATGCAAATTTTGCAATTATCAGTTTTTGCTTTAAAGTGGAAATGTCGCAGTCAACAAGTAACAAAGCGGAGTTTGCTTCGAATCGAAGTTATTTATTTCTGCTAACGGATTTAAGTTCCTCTTAATTAGTACTTAAGTACATTAGGAAAATTTCCACTAGGCTTTTGTGCGTTATGGTGACCCCTGTTTTGAAGAATGATGGAACGGAACGGAACAGCGGAATACGCGGAATATTCTAAAATAAGAAATATACTAAAGGACGGAATTTACAGAATATTCTAAAACAAAACACAGAGCCTTCTACTTTTTTCAGTCCTGTTCAAATCATTCTAATACAGTGTTCTGTTTTGAATTAATCATGCAAGTTTTCTTGTTTCATTCCTTCGTCAAAATATCATTATATCTCAGCCCTGCTGTGCTGGAAGTGAAGTGTGCATGATACTTGCATTCCCTCGTCATCCAGTCTCCTTATTTTCACGCCTTCCCTCGAACTTTCCTTCCGAAAAAGCTGAAATCCTGAACTCTGGTGGGTTACGTTAATGGTGAATGAAGTGAGCGAAGAAAAAGTTTTAAAAGAACCTTTGTGAACTGTTTGAAGTGAGGACCTTAGGAGCTCTAGACAATGAGTTACTATATACTGAATGTTGTGCAGACGATCCCTAAAGAGAAAACTAAATAGGGTCTCACGGAAAGACTAACCGAAAATTCTAGGTGACCTTTTTAGGGTAAAAATCGTTAAAAATGGGCAATTATACCATTTTTTAGATGTTCGAGAATCCTAGGAGAGGCATGCAAGCAAGAAATTTTACAGCAAATGTTCCGAAAATTCTAGATCTAAAATCGTCTTCCGAACAGATATTTTCCGAAAATTGACGCTGGGTGCCCCTGTATAATTAATATTCAGCTGTATATATTATATTGTATTAATAAATTCAATCTTGAAATCAAGGACCAACTTACAAACAACAAGGACGGGATACTGATAAAGGATCTAATGCAGCTATAATTGGAAAAATAGAAACAAACGATGCAAGGCTGATTCTAGCCTGAATTTCAGCCGATTACTTCGAGTCGTTATTACTCCCTCAGTAACGACGTTACTGAGGGAGAAAACGACTCGAACCAATCGGATGAAATTCACGCTAAGCTGATTTTACTGTCGGGAATATATACTTTTCTTTTAGCAATATTTCGGAAGTGCCTTCCTTCGTCATGGTCTAACATACAATGATATATAATATTATATTACAATGCAATATTGGATGTAAGACCCCTAAAGAAGGAAGGTTGTTCCTTCCGAAATATTGGCCGGTAAAGAAAAATATATATTCCCGACTGTAAATTCAACCTTGCTTCTTTTGTTTAGGCGGGGAACGCTTCCGGCTAATACATTATTCACGATTCACTTAAGTCAAGGTTAGAGTGAATGATGTCAGCAATATTAGTCTTACTTAAAAAACCCGAAAGTTTTTCTAAATTACGTTAATGTACTCAAAGAAATTGGCCATTTTTTAAATTCTTCGGTTAAACATGGTTTAAAGAAACATTTTCACGTTCAATTGTTCTTAGAAATGTTGGAACAGAGGTTCAGTTGTTAACTATGACTATATGTAAATTTTTTGCTAACTCACTTCCACGCAGTGAGATTGAGGTTCCGGTAATTAAATTTTTGTCGAGTTTCCATGGCAACTCAATCGCTTTTGGGAATGACTTGGAATGACGCTTCCGTTCCTTTTGATATATACATATATAATAGGTTTATTGTCTGATCATATTGTTATATCGATTTTTAGCGAAAGTATCTCACATTATATTTACTACTGTTGACTTAACTGACATTATGTCTGGTAGGTCTACACTTAACAAAAAGAGTTATACGGTAGCCGTTTAATCTTGGCGATGTTTCATAGTCGCAAACAAAAACCTTATATTTACCCGTGGAATACGATCATTATACGTAACTCATTTATTGTCTTTAGGGTGCTCTTTCGACAGCGTCACAGTGATTGATCGAATTTGGAGGCTACATTGGCTAGTAACATCGATAATTTCAAAATTGTATCAACCACATTGTAAGGACAGCAAGTTTCGCCGTTTTCCCTTGAACTTTACGAGACGCCATGCTACTCGCCGAGTCCAGCCGGAATATCTTCACCAAATGCCGCCGACGATACATCGTGCTTTTTGTTGCCTTAACGATCTTGTTTTTATTTTACATCTTCTTAAACTTGAGAAACTATGGACTTTACACCGGGAATCATCCATTTTTCGCCGCTCAGCCATGCGAGTACCTCAACGAAATGGAAAGAGGACAGCTTTTGGATATGGCCTTAGAAGTTCATAAAATCCTGGATGGTTTTGGCATAGAACACTGGTTGATGTACGGTTCTGTGTTTGGCGCTGTGCGGGCGAAGGGACCCCTCCCTTGGGATAATGACGTAGATATAGGATTCAACGGAACAGGAACTTTTGCACTGATGTCTTTTGAAGAGTTCACAAAACCGTTTAAAGCGAAAGGTTTAAATGTTTACCATAAGCGTTGGATTACAAGTAATGTGATGAAAGTTTACAGAAGCGATCTACCCCACGTAAAAGTTGATTTATTTGCGTTTTACAATTATCGAGGATGGATGAAGCGCGCCGGCTTGGAGACCTGGATTTTTGCATTAAACTATAATCTTCATGATACATTTCCTGCGCGATTAGTTAAGAAACCTGTTCCGCTTGTTCCGTTTGGTAAATATTCGATGCCCGTTCCGCGAGAAGGGCTAACTATGCAGAAATATCTGTACCCCGATGACTGGTGGATGGAGGTAAAACCCGTGACCTGTCATTAACCAATCTCAAAAGAAGCTGTAGACTGCGAGCAGTCTCTCATAGAGAGCTTTAGATCTGAGAAAGACAACGAGTACGAGATGTAACTTAAAGTTTTTGCGCGTGTTCTAAAAAAAAGAGACAACCCGGAAAGCTTCAATTTACTTTTTGTTCACCAAAAAAGTTAGTACGGTAATTTATACTGAAGGAGGTTAAGCCATCTCCCGATTATGATAAAACTTCTTGCATTTGAAACTTGTTCCCGCCACTACGACATTCTCGCTGAAACTCTTAGTAGAATGACGACACAGCTATCACGTTTTCCCGCCAAAATGACGCTGCCTCACGAGCAAGCACTACTTTCCATTGAGAAAATCTCGTACTCGTAGTCGTTCTCGTTTCAGAATCCAAAGGTCTCTAACCACAACTGCAATTTTTTTCAATCTCCTTCAAGTTTGTTCACCCGTGTCTCCTTAATGTTTCCTGTGCTATTTATACCTTCTTTTTAATGTTTTGAGTGGTTATTTTTACGCTTCACTCAATTTGGTGGCCGTTCCCGGCACTGTTTGAATTTTGATAAATTTCGTGATACGGCTCCTTTTAACTGTCCGCGGCTGGAAGAGAAGCAGCTATGTTGTCTGAAAATAGCTTTGAACGTTAATTACGCACTTAACGCTTAAGATGTCTCGTGCGATTTTTCAGAAATACCTGTAAGCCGATGAGTAGTTGAGATAATCTTACCCTGACATTAGTAAGGCATAAATCATCCACCGGGTGAAAAAAAAAAGCACTACAACTTCTCTTTGTCAACTTGAAATCCCCGGGAGGGGGGTACTCCTGGGAATTCTTGGTGGGGGTGTGCCGCCCGGTTCTTCAAATCCTAACCCGATTTCAGACCAAAAAAAATGTAATTATCTACACCCGTTTTCAGACTAGACCTCTAAAATCCGTACCCGTTTTTAGACCTGCCCTTTAGGCAGAAATTACGTTATCGTTACCTAGATTAGAGCGCAAACAAAAAAATTATTCATCCATTTCGAATTCGCATATTTCTCTTTCTTTCTTACTCATTTGGAATTGAAACGATAGATACGTTCATACACTCCGTAGTTCCCTCGAAAACCATACCCGATTCCAGACCAAAATGGACAAAGTGTAGACCCGTTTTCAGACCAAAACGGCGCAAAAACCCCTACCCGGTGGGGCGGCATATACCTATATGGCTTATATAAGGGAGTCGTGACCCTCTCCCCCGCCCCCCCCCCCGGGGCTTGAAATAACCTTACGTATGATGTGCTCAGTCAATATCCGGTCACCTCGCCACTAAACCATATCGCCACCAAGACTAGACCGCCCGC